GACGGGCTGCAGAGATGAAGACACTAAAGACTCGTTAATTTGTTGGTTTTTATTGCAAGTAGTTTGTTTATAGTAGTACTGGGAAGACATTAACTCTTTTTTGATTATTTTTTCTTTACGAAAAGGAAAAATAGAAAAATGTCACCTCTGCAATTCCCTACAATTTCAAAGTAAAAATGAGTGGAAATGACAATGATATATTCACCCCCCATTTTTTTTGCTTATTTCTGTAATGTCCTTTCTACTCCAGGAATTATAACAGAGAAATGGCGTTTTAGAATGGGTATCATGGCAGGGCAGCCAGATAATGGTGAGATGTGGGTTTGGGGTTATATATTCCAACCAGGTGTGGCAATAGTTCTGCTTCAGTTTATACCTGGGAGCAGGGGTCATTTCGTAGAAAAAGAGGTGCAGGAGCTCATTAGCATAACTCATTAGCATATGCCACACCCCCTGACATCACCAGAAGTGTGTCAGAAGGCAACACCCACTGCTCAGGCTCCACTGGACTGTTTTGGATTGCTAGCTATTGGGGGGGGGGAACGTGCAGATCGGTCCTCACAGAGGAGGGAGAGCTTGTACCTGAACAAAACTTGGTCTTAAAGGTGCCACTGGACTGTTTTGGACCAGGGGGCTCTGCAACTTACCTGGCTGCTTCTTGCTCTGACTGAGGGCTGCTGGGAGCATGGGGTGGGGCTTGTTGCATGCGCCCACCCCCTGGGCTCTTTACTGCCGGAGCTCTGCTCTTGTGCGCTCCTGCAGGAAATGATTCCTGCCTGGGAGAATTGTGCTACAGTTTTTACAGACGATCTGAAAATGGCTACAAACTGGGATTTTTAAAAAGGGAAAACATGATATGACACCTGATAACAAGAATGCACTGGTTTGGGGAAAATGAGGTTTGTATTCTCAGGAATGAGGAGCTACAGTGGCTCAAGTGGTTAAGACACTGAATTGCAGGCTGGAAGGTCGGTAGTTCAGCAGTTCGAGACCCCAGTGCTGCATGACGGAGTGAGCTCCTGTCTCTGGTTCCAGCTCCTGCCAACCTAGCAGTTTGAAAGCAAGAAATTGCAAGTAGATAAATAGGTACCACTTCGGTGGGAAGATAACAGCATTCCATGCGCCTTGGCATTTAGTCATGCCGGCCACTTGACCACAGAAACGTTTTTGGACAATGCTGGCTCTTCGGCTTTGAAACGGAGATGAGCACGGCAACCCTAGAGTCGGATTCGACTGGCTTTCAAGCAAGGGAAACCTATTCTCAGGAATAAATATGAGTGCTAACAGGTGAAAATGGTAGTGTGGTATTTGTGGGCTAATTTTCCCCCTCGATCTAGACGAATCAAACGTAGTTAATACCCACCCCATTTGTGTATTTGTAGGCAGCATGCTGTGTGTACATGTTGAGAAGCTGACAGCTAATATTTAGCAATGGTATCAGCGAGGTCTGAATGATATGTATAGCTTCTTTTCCAGTCAGTCCCATGCACAAGAAGCACTGCTGAATGTCTTGGTAGAGCTGCTTTGCAAGAAGAGCCCCTGCAAATTATCTAGATGTGCACCTTTGGGCATTCTGTCATCTCACAGGTTTCTTGGCTTAGCCTTTACCCTTGCAGCCCTTCTACACGCACCTTTTGGCGTCTTTGAGTCTGAGGTTTCTTCCTCCCACTTCTTTTCCTTCCATCTGTTCATCCCTTGATCTTTCCTCAGCAGATCCCTATTATAGTTTCTTTGAGTGGCTTCTCTCCTGAGACTTACCAACACATAACTTTCCAGATCTTAGTAAGGTTAGACTCTAAAATGAGTCTTTTCTCATGTCAAAAAGTTCCTTCTGTACAGTCTCCTGTTGTGTGAGTGTCACTGGGGAGAGTGGTGGATTTAGCTCTGCGGAATCTAGTTTCTAATAGTGGCTTAGTTATGAACTCTTTAGGTAGCCATTATCTCTCAGCAGTACTATGTTGCATTTAATTCACAGGCTGGAAGTTGAAAGATGTGTATTGCTATAGAAATGACAATTGACAGCATCTTTTCTCCTTTACATATTTTTTTCTGTTCTTGACTCTCTGAACCTGTCTGCCTTCTTTATCTCCTGTTGCCTCACCATCTTTTAGAACTCCCTTTCTGCATATCTCTGTTTCATCACTGTAGCCGGAGGCTCATTTTTTTTTAAAAAAAACATGAGCTTCTTTTTGCCTAACAATTTCTAATTCTGCCCACCCCTTACGTAGCACATGTGCTCCAGTGCGTCATTACTAAGCATCAGGTACCACCTTAGGTGTGTATGTCCCTTTCTATTGGGAGCAGCATGATTTTTTTTTGGGGGGGGGGGATTAACTTTGTAACAGTGACCCAGCTAGATTTTGCATCAGAGACAGTTCAGATCATTAAGAGAATGTAAGCTTGATGCTTTATGGGCCTTGCAAACTAAAGTTTTGATTGTATGTAAAGAATGTTCCCCTCAGGGGCCTCTCGCAAAACTAAGTCTGATTTTCCCAAGATGAAAGTTCTGTTGCAATGAATATGCAAACATTCAGTCAATTTCAAGCTACATTTTTTTTTGTCATAATATGGTCCCATTTCCTTTTTTATATAAGTGAGCTTGCTTTATACTTAGATTCATAGAATCGTAGATTTGGAATGGACCTCCAGGGCCATCTAGTTCAGTCCCCTGCACAGTGCAGGAAATTCTCAACTACCTCCCCCCACACCCCCGGTGACTCCACCTCCATGCCCAGAAGATGGCAAAAAACCCTCCTGGATCCTTGGGCAAACTGGCCTGGAGAAAATTGCTTCCTGACCCCAAAGTGGTGATTGGCATCTCCCTGGCATGTAAGAAAGGGCCACGAGAACTAAGCCCTGAGGCAACCAGCATTGCTGTCGGATGGCCATCTAGGCTCTGCTTAAAAACCTCCAGAGAAGGAGGAGAGCCCACCACCTCCCGAGGAAGCCTGTTCCACTGAGGAACTGCTCTGTCAGGAAGTTCTTCCTAGTGTTTAACCAAAAACTCTGTTGATTTAATTTCAACCCGTGTGGTTTTGACTATATGGTGAAATATAGGTTGTGTGTTGGTGTTTGTCCTACAGGTTGCACCATTACTTGCTTCTCGGTGTGGGCTGTGTTTTGTACCTCCCAAGTTCCACCAGTAATCTGTTGTCATTGGTTTTAACTTTGGAGAGGTGGTTCTTTGGTATTGTGTCTTTGGCTTCTGGTAGAATGGATTTCAGTTGGGTCCCAGTGGTCTAATATGTTGCTTTTAGATGTCCAATAACTTTGGCTTCTCCAGCTCTCCTCTCCCTTTCATCGCTGAACGTGTGGTGTGCTTCTCTGAATCCCGGAGCTGTAGTTCTGACCCCTGGATAGCTCAGGCTAGCCCGATCTCATCAGATCTGGGAAGCTGAAGCAGGGTCAGGCCCTGGCCAGTGTTTGGATGGGAGACCTCCAAGGTATACCGGAGCCGTGAGGCAGAGGGCAGGCAGATGGCCAAGCACCTCTGGAACGCCTCTGGCCTTGGGAACCCCACCCGGGGTCAGGGTCACCACGAGTCCGCTGTGACTCGATGATACTTTCCACCCCCAGTTCTCTCAGGAGACTCTGAGTAGGGGATATAGGCGGCAGAAGGTGCTGAGTCTCAGTGCACTTGCCTGTGGAACTCTTCCTCGGTTGAGCCATTGAGGAAGGGCCTTAGAGAGGGAGGGTTGAGGAGCAAAGCAAACAGTGTGTTGACAGAAGGCAGCGATTGGTGCGCAAGTGCGTCAGGGCAAAATCAGGTCTGAGGTCCTGGCATGAGCAGCAGAAACTGGCCTTGGCATCATTAGTGGCCCAGGAGTTGGGAACAGACTCTCTACAAGACTTGTTGTGGAAGTCAACATAATCCTTTGAGGGGTCTAAGTTACAGAAGCAGAGGGCAGTCCTGTGCTTGGCCTCTGAGGCTGTTTGCCTGCTTTTGAGTCTCCCTCAACCCCGGGCCTGGCAAGAGAGGGCTGTTCGTTCAGCTGACTGTTGAAGGGCACCTGGAGATGGGGGTCTCTTGTTGTAAAGAGAGGGGATCGTTGCTGAGCCCTCCTGCCTCTCCTTAGGGTTCTTTTCTGTTCCCGAGTGCCGCCCGCCCGCCCGTTGGAGCAGTCCCTGGGACATGCGCTCTTTGTAGCCAAGCTCCTGGCTGTTTCTCTTCTTAGCCAGGGTTTGGCCCTCTCTTGAAATCTAGTGGGAGGCCGTTGCCGTAGTGACCAGAGCAGGCCCCAGCTTTACCTCATTGAATTCCAGGGGCTGTGCCAAGTGATTGAGAAATTGGGGGTTGGGTGTGTTTCCAGTCCAGATGTTTACTGCTGGTATTTCTCACTGGGAAGCCTCCAGAGCTGGGACTGGGCAGAGCAGAAACTCTCTTCCTGCGCTGAGGCTGGTGTGGGGAAGGAGGGAGGGAGGGACCTGGAAAGAGAGGGGAGAGTATGACGGGAAAAGGCAAAATGGGCGTGTTATGGCAAAGGGACAGAAGCTGACAAAAGAAACGGGGAGGAGGGAGGAGGCCGCCTGAGAGGCAGCAGCGGTGGTAGGAGGAGGAAGAAGGAGAGGGTCTTGGTGGGGAAGGACTGGGCGGCGGTGGGGGGGGGGGGGGGGGTTTGACAAAGGTGGAGCCAGAGTGCAGCAAAGTCTCCAAAGTCCCAAGTTTGATAGGTTTGTGCCTGATCCTTTCGTGTGAGTCATGGCCTGGATGCTTGAGGGAGACCCGCTCCCTTCACCCTTGTCCCAGCCTGCCCTGGGAGCGGCTTAACATGAAACTTTATTTGTGTGTGTGTGTGTGTGTGAGAGAGAGAGAGAGAGAGAGAGATGGCTGCTTGCCCTCAGGCTGTTTCCTGGTAAGGACTCAGCTGTGGAAGGCAAGAGAAGATAATGGGGGAGACTTGCATTTTGTGGGGGTGAGCAGGGCAATCCTTTGACATTCTGGTGGATAAATTCTTCTTCTTCTTCTTCTCCCCCCCCCCCCCCCCGGTGTTCTAGGGGTTGGTGGATGTCCTGCATTCCGAGTCCCAGCCAAGGTGATGTGATGGACTCCAAGCCCCAGTCGCTTTGCTCCCCGTTCCTCTGTACAGCTGCTAATGGCCGCGGGGGGCCCAGACAACGGTCAAGCAGCCCTGAGACAGGTACGCCTTGAGATTGTCTGCTTTTAACTGGCACAGGAGCTCAGAGCTGCAGAGTGATGTGTAGACTGGGGTGACAGCGCCAAGCTTCTAGAGATCCCCCTCACCTTTCTGCCTATGTGAAGAGGGGTGGTCGGTCCACCAGAGAACAAAAGCCAAACTCTGTGTTTAACAGAATCCCACGAGGCAGGGGTAATAGGATGTTCGGCTTTTGGCAATCCAGATCAATATGGTTTGACAGTTAGACTAGGACTTAGGAGAATCAGGTTCAAATCACTAGTCAGCCATGAGCTTGACTGAGTGACGTTAGACCAGGCACATGTTCTCCGTCTAACCTAACTCACAGAGTTGCTGTGAGGGTAAAATAGGTAGGAACTATTATGCTGCCCTGAGCTTTGCAGATGAAGGGTGAGATGAAAATATGACCGAGAGAGGTAGAACCCAGGGAAAGTATTTTGTAAGGCATTCGAGAGGTAACTCTGTGTAAGGCATCGATTGCCATCCATCCCTGCAAAAGTAGTTTGGGATTGGAGGGCAGGGGGTGGGTCTGTGATACAAAACTGATAGTGCTTGGGTAGTGGGTTATAATTTTGGACCTTCTCTTTTCCTCAGGGGATGCCCGCCCAAAGCCCCCAGTGAAACCCAAGCCGTGTGTGCTGCCAAAGCCAGCCATGCCAGCAAAACCCACCCCTGTACTGCGTCAAGCCCTTTCTGAAGTGCCCTCTGCAGAAAAGATCAATCTGCTGGCTGGACCCAAGCCATATAGCAGTGGGGCTGGTAATTCTGTTAAGCGTCTTTCCTTTAGCTTCAAGTGTCCTCCAAAAGAAGCTACAAATGGGAAAGAGGTTTCACCTCCATTCTCTTCTGCGACTAAACCGTCTGCAGGTGGAGGAGAAGGACCTGGGTCTACAAGGCAACCCAGTGCTGCAGCAGGGGCTTCTGTGGATGAGTGTGGAGAACTGTCCAGTGTACGCAGATGTGCTGTCCCTTTCAAAGTGAAGCCCGTGCCAGGAGCAGCCAAGCCGGAGCGTTTTCCGGGGACCACAGTGGAGGAGATCTTGGCCAAGATTGAGAAGCCCAGCAAGGAAGGGCCGGAGGGCCCCGAGAAGCCTCGGCTAGTACGCGCCTCCCTCAGCCAGGAGGGTGGCACAGCCGTTCAGCTGGGGCCGAAGGGTTACGCGGCCTTCCGGAGATGTTCCAGTGGAGGGGAAGGGGGAGGAGTAGAGCCGAAGGGTCCTGTGTGCGGGGCTTCTCATGAAGAGAACAGCTTGTCAAGGAGCAAGGAGGACGCCACAAGTTCAAATGGTCAGCATGCGCCTGAATCTGAGCAGCCATCAACAGAGAGAGACTTATGTTTCCACTCTCGAGACAGGTAAGGTGTTAGATTTTCATGGTAGGCCATCCTAAATAATTGTGGAAGATGCATTGTCTGATACAGTGTAAAGTCATTCTAATGTCAGTTACTGAAATGGGATGCAGAACAGCAAATCTTTTAGCCCTTGAGTGCCATGGGAAATAAAGTTAATTAATTTAATGTTTCTTTAGGGTGGCCTGCCAGCAATTCTTTCCTAGTTCTTTTTATTCATTCACCACTCTTGGAGCTAGAATTACTTCTGTGGTTAAGACAGAATGAGAGCCACAGCAGGTTAAGACTTCGAGCCTATAGCTGTATAGATGGGAGTAAGTTCCGTTCAACTTAGTGGGACTTGCTTCTTACTTAAACATGCTGATGTTTGATCTTGGCTGGAGAAACCCTAATAGTCTTAAATTCTAGGATACCATTATGAGTTCTGGTCATCCTCAAATCTTCACTGCAAGAAAGTGGTTTGCCTGGCAAGGGAAATGACCTTGGATGGGATTGCAGCGATGCCTGGAGTTTTCTGTGAGGAGGGCAGGAGAAAAATTCAGCGGAATGAAACCTCCATGACAGTTAGCAGAACTTCCTTTTGATTGTCTTCAGTAGTAGCCAGTTCTGTCTCCTGATGGTGGTGCCTCTTCCTTTCTCTCAGCAGCTCCAGCCCACCTAGTTTGAGCTGTGATGAAGGCCAGCCTGGACTTCGCAGTTCACCATCTCCTCCTGGCGTGAGTTATCTGCAGCACAGCAATTCCTCCGCTGGCCTCTCTCCTTCCTGGCTTTCCTCTGTCTCAGGGGTAGCTGCCACCTCTCTCCTTCCGGGCTCCCTTTCTGTAGGGTGCGTGTTTCTTTTTCTTTCCCAGCTAATTGTCGGGATCCTGGTTAAATCAGTTCTCAACACCAGTCACTTCGAAGAAAGCTAACTTTATTGAGACTTTGATAGATACCATACTGGACACGAGCTGTTGTTAGGACTGAAGTTGAACACACGAAGGTTACAGATATAATGGGTTCAAGTAAAGGCACTAAAGATCAGGACCCAATCACCCCATAGTATTTGCCTGCCAGAATTAACAGTCAGCTCCCCCCCCACACACACACTAAGCATGTACCTCTCCCAGAGCATCCCTCCCGCTAAAACTAACAGTTGCCTACCCCCCCTCAGACATGTAGCCTCTACATAGCAAAAAAAACCCCCAGAATAACAGACATTTGAGAAGCCAGGGCATTTGGCACCACTAAGGTGACAGGCCTCTGGCACATCAAAGAAAGGGGGGGGGTCCTCCTCTCTCAATGTCAGGCAAGCTGTAAGATGCACAGGGAGCCTGACACCAATGCCTCTCTTCAGGAAGTGGTAATCAGAACAATCCATGGACTATGATTGGGTATCTCAGTTCAAGCGTGTCCTTTTTTCTGGCACAGGGTGTGGCATCAGGCTTGTAAAAATGGTAGGTGCTGGCTTACGGAGGCGCTTAGATGCTGGTTCTTGGGAGTTTGAAATATTCAGGCTTGTACTTCAAGGGTCCCCCTCATGGGTCACTGCCTTGTTGTGGTGAGTGGGCTTGCATGGTTCGATGAGGCTGTGGGCTATGTTCAATGAAGCTGTGGGCTATGCCGTGAAGGGCCACCCAAGACGGACAGGCCACAGCAGAGAACTCAGACCAAGCGTGATCCACCTGGAGAAGGAAATGGCAACCCACTCCAGTATTGTGGCCAAGAAACCCCCATGGACAGTATCAAAAGACGCCGGAAGTTGAGCCCCTCAGGTCGGAAGGTGTCCAATATGCTACTGGGGAAGAGCAGAGGGCAAGTACAAGTAACCCCAGAAAGAGTGAAGCGGCTGGGCCAAAGCCGAAAGGACGCTCAGTTGTGGATGTGTCTGATGGTGAAAGGAAAGTCCGATGCTGCAAAGAACAATACTACATAGGAACCGGTAAGCTTGACATGGTCAAAAATGAGATGGCAAGACTGAACATCGATATCTTAGGAATCAGTGAACTAAAGTGGACAGGAATGGGCGAATTTAACTCAGAAGACCATTATATCTACTACTGTGGCCAGGAATCCCGTAGAAAAAATGGTGTGGCCTTTATAGTCAACGAGAGAGTGCAAAAGTCAGTACTGGGATACAATCTCAAAAATGACAGAATAATTTCGGTCCGATTCCAAGACAAACCATTCAACATCACAGTAATCCAAGTCTATGCCCCAACCACTGATGCAGAAGAGGCTGAAGTGGACCGGTTCTATGAAGACCTACAACACCTCCTAGAACTAACACCAAAAAATGATGTCCTCATCATCATAGGGGACTGGAATGCTAAAGTAGGAAGTGAAAAGGTAACTGGAATAACAGACAAGTTTGGCCTTGGAAAGCAAAATGAAGCAGGGCAAAGGTTAACAGAGTTTTGTCAAGAGAACACACTGGTCATAGCGAACACCCTTTTCCAACAACCTAAGAGGCGACTCTACACATGGACATCACCAGATGGGCAACACCGAAATCAGATTGACTATATAATTTGCAGTCAAAGATGGAGAAGCTCTATCCAGTCAGTAAAAACAAGACCTGGAGCTGACTGTGGTTCAGATCATGAGCTACTCATTGCAAAATTCAGACTTAAACTGAAGAAAATTGGGAAAACCACGAGGCCATTCAGGTTTGACCTAGATCGCATCCCTGATGAATATACAGTAGAGGTGAAGAATAGATTCAAGGGTCTGGATTTGATAGATAGAGTGCCTGAAGAACTATGGACAGAGGTTCGTGACATCGTACAGGAGGCAGCAATCACCACCATACCAAAGAAAAAGAAATGCAAGAAAGCAAAATGGCTTTCTGATGAGGCTTTACAAATAGCAGAGGAAAGAAGGAAAGCGAAAGGCAAAGGCGAAAAGGAAAGATTTACCCAACTGAACGCAGATTTCCAGAGAACAGCAAGGAGAGATAAGGAGGCCTTCCTGAATGAACAGTGCAAAGTAATAGAAGAAAACAATAGAATGGGAAGGACTAGAGATCTCTTCAAGAAAATTGGAGAAATCAAGGGAGCGTTCCATGCAAAGCTGGCCATGATAAAGGACAAAAACGGTAGGGACCTAACAGAAGCAGAAGAGATTAGGAAAAGATGGCAAGAATACACAGAAGAACTATACAAGAAAGACCTCAATGTCCTTGACAAACACGACGGTATAATCACTGACCTTGAGCCAGACATCCTGGAATGTGAAGTTAAATGGGCCTTAGAAAGCATTACTAACAACAAAGCTAGTGGAGGTGATGGTATTCCAGCTGAGCTATTCAAAGTCTTAGAAGATGATGCTGTTAAAGTTCTGCACTCCATTTGCCAGCAAATTTGGAAAACGCAACAGTGGCCACAGGATTGGAAAAGATCAGTATACATTCCAATCCCAAAGAAGGGCAATGCCAAGGAATGTTCAAACTATCGCACAATTGCACTCATATCACACGCTAGCAAGGTCATGCTCAAGATCCTACAAGCTAGGCTTCAACAGTACGTGGATAGAGAACTACCAGAAGTACAAGCTGGGTTTCGAAGAGGTAGAGGAACTAGAGATCAAATTGCCAACATTCGCTGGATTATGGAGAAAGCAAGAGAGTACCAGAAAAATATCTACTTCTGCTTCATTGACTATGCTAAAGCTTTTGACTGTGTGGATCACAACAAACTATGGCAGGTCCTTAAAGAGATGGGAGTACCAGACCACCTCACATGTCTCTTGAGAAACCTGTATAAGGGCCAAGAAGCGACAGTTAGAACCGGATACGGAACAACTGATTGGTTCAGCATAGGAAAAGGAGTACGACAAGGATGTATACTGTCACCTTGCTTATTTAATATATATGCAGAGTACATCATGCGAAATGCTGGCCTGGATGAATCACAAGCGGGAATTAAGATTGCTGGGGAAAAGATCAACAACCTCAGATATGCAGATGATACCACTCTAATGGCTGAAAGTGAAAAGGATCTAAAGAGCCTCTTGCTCAGAGTAAAAGAGGAGAGCGCAAAAGTGGGCTTGAAGCTCAACATCAAAAAAACTAAGATCATGGCATCCGGCCCCATCACTCCTTGGCAAATAGAAGGGGAAGTCGTGGAAGTAGTGACAGACTTCACGTTCCTGGGATCCCAGATCACCGCAGACTGTGACTGCAGCCATGAAATTAAAAGACGCCTGCTCCTTGGGAGGAAAGCGATGGCGAACCTAAACAGCATGATAAAAAGTAGAGACATCACCCTGCCAACAAAAGTCCGCATGGTCAAAGCAATGGTATTCCCAGTAGTCATGTATGGCTGTGAGAGTTGGACTATAAGGAAGGCCGAGCGCCGAAGAATAGATTCTTTTGAACTATGGTGCTGGAGAAGACTCTTGAGAGTCCCTTGGACTGCAAGAAGAACAAATCAGTCAATCCTAAAAGAAATCAACCCTGACTGTTCCCTGGAAGGCCAGATAATGAAACTGAAGCTCAAATACTTTGGCCACCACTAAATGAGAAGGGAGCACTCCCTGGAGATGACCCTGATGCTGGGAAAGATTGAAGGTCAAAGAAGACGGGGACAGCAAAGGATGAGATGTTTAGACAGTGTCACTGATGCAACGAACATGAAATTGAGCCAACTTCAGAGGACAGCGGAAGACAGGAAGGCCTGGCGTGATCTGGTCCATGGGGTCGCGAAGAGTCGGACTCGACTGTGCGACTGAACAACAACTTCAATGGTGGTTCTTAGGGTGTTAAAATTTTTCCATCTCTATATGGTACAGCATTTTAAAAAAGCGTACTGCTTGCTAGTTGGCCATAGATATTGAGTGTTTGCTTCAGTGGCTGGTGCACCAGAAATGTTTTTCTTCATTGTGGCTCAAAAATATTGGGAAGTTTCCTTACTTAGGAATCGGTGGTGTCCAAGCCTGGTGACTTATTTACCACCAATGGGAGAAAGCTTTGCAGTACAGAGTAGGGTTTGGAAGCAGTGTGTGAAAACAAGCATACATAGAGAGAAATGCTAGAGTAGCACATGACCCTTGGTTTCCAGTTTGAATCTATCAGTCTCTGCCTGCTGAGTAGGGCCTACATTGCTACAACCAACAATAATGAAAAGTTGTCATGTTATGGTGGACTGTGCTAGGTATGTTTATTGGTATGCATTGCGAACTTCACAGTGCAAGGGCATTGTAATGCACTGTTGATACTACGCTTTTGCACTTGGCATAGCTGATAACACCCCTATGATGATCACAGTTTTGTCTTGCTTTTGGGAGTTAGAAAGTAACTTTGCAATGGACAAGATCTGGCCCAGGGAAACCAGATCCTGGGAGCTTCCACGAGGCCTGGCAGAGCCTTGGGCCTTTGCTGGAGGGGCGGGAGCAGCCATGACTCAGTAAGAGCAGCACCGTCACCTGACCAGGGGTGTGTGAGGCCGTTCCCCTGCCAGGGAAGGCACAGCGCCCTCCTCCTCCCCAGGGCTCAGGGTGGTAATGATTAACTCCCTTTGCCTCTCCCTGGGGAGGAGGAGGGGGGGGGGAGCACGAGGCATGAACCACCCACCTTGGCTTTATTTCCAAGCTGGGGAAAGGCACAAGGGTTTGGGTGGGGCACAAGGCCTCATTGGACTGCAGCATGTGGACGGACTTCTTCCACTTTTCTTTTTCCCTTCCCTTTCCTCTCTTTGCATCTCATTTCCTTCTGGCTTATTTGATTTGGGGGGAAGTCTACAATTTGGGTGAGGGATGGTCTTTTAAGAGGAGCAGGTTCTACTGGAAGAGCTGTTAAAAAGGGGGGGGGCATACCACAGTGGTTTGGGGTAAAGGGACAGGATTGGGGGAGACCTCTTTAATTCTGGGGGGGGCACGGGACCCCTTTGGGGCCAGGGTGGTTGTACTTTTAGATTTAACTGGAATCCTTGGGAAGGTTGTAGGGAGGGAGGATAACATTTAACCTTTTCTTCCCTTGTTTCTGCAGGTCTCTGTCCCACAGACCTCTCAACCCCTTGCCAAGCTCTCTTCTGGAGGCACTCCTGGGTCCCCCGAGGCCCCTTCTGAACGAGCTCAGTTCCAGAAGAGCTCCACAGCACCCAAGCTGAGCTTCCCCCAGGCTCTCCAGATGTGATTAAACCCCTCAGAACTCCCACTGAGGAGTTCTGTGGTCTTGCTCAGGCTCCAGGTTCCCCTCTGGCCCTTGCCGACCCCTGTCCCCCAGGGTCCCCCAGTGTCTCTGTTGAGGCTTCCTTGTCTCCGTGTCCCCCCAGCCCTTCTGCGAGGGGCCCTGAGGTCTTACTTCTCCCCGGGCCATCTCTCAGTCTGGCTTTTACTCCACCTGCTGATCACCGCTCAGAAACTCCCAGTTGGCTCTTGGGCATCTCCGAGTCTCCTGGCTCCCCAGACACTCACTCTGACTCCTGTGTTGGTTCTGATCAGCCTCCTGGCTCCCCATCTCATGCACAAGAGTCCCGTTTGCTCTCTAGGAGCCAAGATTCCCCCAAGAAGCACACACAGGCACTCCCTGCTGAGGACAAGGCCCCCCACCTTTCTCAGTTGCCCTTGCGGCGTGCCTCAGAGGGAGTGGTGGAGCCCCAAGGCAGAAAGGGCAAGCAGGAGCTAGGGAGGTCTCTGGCTGCCCTGCCAAGAGGGGGTCCTCACTTAGAGCAGGCAGCGGTGGGAGAGTCCAGCTGGAGCCTGTCACAGTCTTTTGAGTGGTCATTTCCTAACCGGGCTCTTGTGTGTGGTGGGGGGCGACTGGGGTCTCCACCCAGGTCTCCCATTGCGGAGGCAGAAGACCCAGGCCTCTTGGAGACAGAGCTGGGGGGGAATATCTCCAGTCCTGAAAGGTCTTATGAGGGAAGAAGTTCAGAGGGACTGAGCGGGAGAGGAGATGAAATTGAGGCTTGTGGGAGCTCCCCGGGCTGCAAGGATTCGTGGAGCCAGGCTGTGGGGCAGCCAGAGTCCTCTTCTGTCCTTCTGCAGGGGCCTGCACCCGGAGGGCCCTCTGGTGGGAGAAAGCCTAGTAGCCATGAGCGAAAGGGTCCTTTGGTGGCAACAGAGTGTGGCTTCCAAGAGGAGGATGAGGGCTTACCGCCTTTTGTTCCAGTCCATGAGGAGGGGGCTTTGCAGGGAATGGAGCCCTTGCCAAATGTAGAACAGTCTGCCCCCCCTGTACAGCCTTGCATCTCGTTCTCCGAGGACGTCCAGATGCAGACAGCTGTGTCTGGCCAGGAGAATGAGTGTACTCTGGATCTGGTTCAGGAGAGCAAGACTAGTGATGCTGACCCCCCGAGGGGGGCCGAACAGGATCCTAGCTCATGCTGGCTGGATGAACTGCTGGCATCGCCTCCACCCAGCGCGGATGACACTAAGAGGAGAAGTAAGCCCAAGTTGGATGACCCCACAGGACCAGAGGTAAAGGATCTCTGCTTGCTGAGGGTATAGAAAATTGGTTGAGACCAACAAAATGGGTTGCAGGTAGAAGATGTCACTGGGTTTTTCATTCTGTGATTTTAGAACTGGTATGAAATGGGTTAAATGGATACAAAGGTGGCTAGGTGGATGTGCATTCCTGGCTTGTTGGGTAACAGACTGGGCTTGTCTTTGTGAGGGGCAGGTCTTGGTTATAAGTAAGCCGCAAAGTGGTTTAACAGGTTGGATGGCTGCAGAGTGTGCAAGAGAAGAGGCTAAGTCAAAAAAGGCAAGGAGGAGCTAGGGGGATCTGCCAAATGGGATAACCCTCCTGCTCCTCCCAGGTCGACTGCTTCCCTCCTCAAATCTCACCTGCCTGTCTACATCAAAGATAGTTCTCCTGTTGTGTTTGACCTGTTGACCAATGAGAAGCTGTAGCTTCATTTCCAGCCCACGCTGCTAAAAAGGAATGGTGGGATCTTTGGTTTGCTGGCCATGTTACAGTAACTTTTGTACATACAAAGAGTGACTTGATTGAAACAACCATAATCGGTTTATGAGTTGTTATATGGCCGTGCTACTGAAGGTTAAGAGACCTGATGGGACCAGTGGAGAACCAGAACTTAAGTTTTGTGTTCTGCTACCTATCTATTTCCTTTCCTTCTTAACTCTTATATAGGCATGTTTTGTTTACATGCTTTTGATCTTCCTTGCCTCTTGCCAACATATTCCTATCAACATTTCTAAATTATTTCTCACACCTGAATGTTTACGGATCCATTTCATGCTGTGGTTTTCTTACACTGAAAGCACTGAAAGCTGTGTAGAAAAGTAAGTGCCAAAAGCATGTAGAGAATTGGTTCTGTCCTACAAGGCATATAACTTGCTGTGTCTACACATGCTTTCCAGTTTAATTACATTTGTGCTGGATAATTGCACATGATCTACACATTTTTTTCTTGAGAATGTGCTTTCAATAGAATGTGGCTTTTAGAGGAGGAATATATTCAGATTTTTCTTTTGGGTCTAACTGTAGACTCAGGAATGGGGGAGACTCTGCTGATACCTTAAGTTGCAAGTGTCCATTTCTGTCTGCTTAATACCTTGGGTACAAAACACAAAAAACTGCTGTCTGAAATCACTAAGGTAGAACAAAAAAAGTATAAAAATAATATTTTAATACTGAGTTAAACAACACAATAACCATATAACTAGATAAAGCCAAGGTGTTCTTACAAGAAACAACAGTAGTGCAGAAAAGTGAAGTCCCAAAAATTTCAATGTGTCTCACTCCTGTTGTATTGTAATTCCATAGTCCAACTTGACATACATTCATCATAGAGTGGACTCATATAGTTCCTGGAAAATCCATATAATCTTGAAATCCATAAGCCATAGAGACGTATAGTCCGGATGCATGCTGCCGCATTTCAAATAATTCTTCAAAACCAATAGGCTACAGTGGGACTAAATACAATTTCAAGGCATACATAATTGAGGATAAACAAACAGACAATATGTATGAATTGCATCTCTCTATATAATAGTTCTGTTTTGGTCGTGGACTCTCCTGAACATTCCACACACTCCCAAATCGTTTGGCTCCCTGCTCTGTCACTCAGAAGCTGTCCCTATCCACTGGCTGCGTTGCCTGAGTCTCGCCTCAAATATTTGTTTTTATTTTATTATTTATTCAATTTATACCCCGCCCTCCCCGCGAACGGGCTCAGGGTGGCTTACAGCAGTGGCCCACTTGCCAATAAAACCAATAAAACAATATACATCATTTCATAATAAGTTAAAACATAAAATCATAAGATGCATTCAGTTCTACAGTTCGTTGCTAACGATGGCGTATTAAGGTGTCTCCAAAAACTAGATTCCAGCTCAGTGTCGTTGCAAGTCGCTTGATGTAACGGGCCAGATGTTGGCACTGAGGGCCTGGCTCATTGATGGTAGTGGTGGGGGCGGCTCCTAATTGGCCTGGTAAAAGTGCTCTGTCTTTCAGGCCCTGCGGAACTGCAATAGATCCCACAGGGCCCTGATCTCCTCTGGGAGCTCATTCCACCAGTAAGGAGCTGCCACTGAGAAAGCCTTGGCCCTTGTCATGGCGAACCTAACCTCTTAGGGGCCCGGCAGGATCAAACGATTCTGAGACCCTGACCTCAGTGCTCTCTGGGGTATATGTGGGGAAAGGCGGTCCCTCAGGTATGTCGGACCCTGGCCATATAGGGCTTTAAAGGTAAGCACCAGCACCTTGAAACGGATTTGGTATGCTATTGGCAGCCAGTGCAGGGCTTCAACGCAGGCTGGATGTGTTCCCATCTAGGTAAGCCCATCAACAGCCTGGCCGCGGCGTTCTACACTATCTGCGGCCTCCAAATTTGCAACAAGGTTAGCCCCATGTAGAGAGCGTTGCAGTAGTCTAGTCTCGAGGTGACTGTCGTGTGGATCACTGTGGCCAGGTCGTTGCGGTCGAGGAAGGGAACCAACTACCTAATCAGCCAAAGATGGTAAAAGGCTGACTTGGCAGTGACTGCTACCTGGGTCTCCATTGTTAAGGAGGGGTCCAGGAGCACACCCAAGCTCCTAACCTCTGGCGCTGGCACCAATGGTGCCCCACCAAAGGCCGGGAGTGGGGTCCCCACCCGTGCACCACCCCAGCCCACACACAGGACCTCCGTCTTTGCCGGATTCAGTTTCAGCCGACTCAGCCTAAGCCAACCAGCCATGGCCTGTAACGCACGGTCCAGATCTCCAGGACTGGAGTTTGATCAGCCGCCCAGAATCAGATAGAGCTGGGTGTCATTAGCGTACTGATGGCACCCCAGCCCATAACTCCAGGCTATCTGGGCAAGGGGGCACATATAGGTGTTAAATGCTATTTAACATCTATATGCACCCCCTTGCCCAGATTATCCGGAGCTATGGGCTAGGGTGTCATCAATATGCCGATGACACCCAGCTCTATCTGATGCTGGGCGGCCGGTCGGACTCGAGTCCCGATGACCTGCATTGGGCACTTGAAGACGTGGCTGGTTGGCTCCGGCTGAGTAGATTGAAACTAAACCCGTCGAAGACGGAGGTCCTGGGCCTGAGTCGGGCCGGGACAGGATTGGGGCTCCCTCTCCCAACCTTCGACGGGGTACCTTTGGTGCCTGCATCTGGGGTTCGGAGTCTGGGAATGCACCTGGACTCCGCTTTAACGATGGAGGCCCAGGTGGCAGCCACTGTCAAGTCCGCCTTTTTCCATCTTCGACGGGCTCGGCGGTTGGCCCCCTACCTGGACCGAGATGATCTGGCCACAGTGATCCACGCGACGGTCACCTCGAGGCTAGACCACTGTAACGCTCTCTACATGGGGCTGCCTTTGTCGCAAATCCGGAGGCTGCAACTGGTGCAGAATGCTGCGGCCAGGCTGTTAATGGGTCTCTCTAGGAGGGACCACATTCAGCCTGTGCTGAAAGCGCTGCACTGGTTGCCAATAGCGTACTGAATTCTCTTCAAAGTGCTGGTTCTTACCTATAAAGCCCTACATGGTCTGGGTCCAGCCTACCTGAGGGACCGCCTTACCCCGTATGTTCCCCCAAGAGCACTACGGTCTGGGGCCCAAAATTTACTAACTGTACCGGGCCCCAGAGACGCAAAACTGGTCACTACAAGGGCCAGGGCCTTTTCGGTGGCGGCCCCTACCTGGTGGAATGAGCTCCCGGAGGAGATCCGGGCCCTGCGGGACCTGATGCAGTTCTGCAGGGCCTGCAAGACGGAGCTCTTCCACCAGGCTTTTGAGTAGGGGCCGCCGCCCCCCGCCCCCCCTGTTATATTGTCATCATGGGGGGTGGAAGAGGCCCTAGGAAGAAAACATCTTAATTCTTGAACATCTGAATAAATGTTGAAACCACTGAACGACTATGGGGAACCTCTGGACTTGGCCCGTCATCTTTGGGGTTGTTGGAAATGAAGATCAACGAGCACTTTAAGTTTAAATCTGTACTGGGGTTGGTTTTAAATTGTATAATTGTTTTAACTATCTGAATTATGTTTTATTGTTGCAAGATTTCTTGCCTTGTTAGCCGCCCTGAGCCCTACGGGGGAGGGCGGGGTATAAATCTGATTAATAAATAAATAAATAGCATCGGGGAAAGCACTGCCCCTTGAGGCACTCCGCACTCCATCGGGTGTCTCCTGGACTGTTGCTCCCCGATTGCCACCCTTTGTCCCCAACCTTGGAGAAAGGAAGCAAGCCACTGTAAGGCAAGCCCCTGTATTCCCATGTCGGCGAGGCGGTCGAGCAGCAACTGATGGTCGACCGCGTCGAATGCAGCCGACAGGTCCAACAACAACAGCACTGCCACCCCGCCCCGATCCAGATGCCTCTGCAGATTGTCACTCAGAGCGACCAGAGCCATCTCTGTCCCATGTCCCGGGCGAAAGCTGGACTGGAAGGGATAGAGCCTGGAAGTGTCCTCCATAAAACCCTGTAGCTGTATTGCCACCGCCCTCTCAATTAATTTTCCCAAATAGGGCAAATTGGAGACCAGCTGGTAATTAGCCAATTCGGCCGGGTCCAGAGATAGTTTCTTTAAGAGTGGGCAGACCATCGCTTCCTTGAGTGCCCCTGGGAACAGTTCCTCTAAGAGGGACTTGTTGATAATTTCCCTCAGGGCACCTTAGAACCCCTCATGGCCCACTTTAATGAGCCAGAAAGGGCACGGATCAAGGCTTCATGTGGTTGGGCATACAAGTCAAGAGAAATCTGCCAACTTCCTCCAGGCTGAGTGGGCTGAAATGATCTAATACCGAAGCTGAAGACATGCTTGGGGCCTCGAGATTGCTCACTGTTTCAGCTGTGGCGGTGAGGTCGCGGCGGGACTTTATCCGCAAAATAGCTCGCAAATGCCTCGCAGCCAATATCCAATTCTTTAGCGTTTAGTCTGCCCTGCGGCAGAGCTGTTATAGACCGCATCGGTCTAAACAGTTAGGCTGGGTGTGAGCTTGCGGAT